CTTTAGCTATTTTTTGAGCTAAAAATAAAAAATATTTGTTAATAAAATTAAAAACTTTTATATATAAGAAAAAATATGTATTTTACTAATTATAATTAATAAAAAATTTAAGTGTTGCATTATTTTTGATTGCCACTATATGTATATAAATTATTAATAAAAACTATAACTATTTTTTAATTAAAAATAAATAATATTTATAATAAATTTTTATTTTAATATTTTAATATTTAATTAATTATAAATAATAAAAATTATAAGTTTATATTTTTATATTTTATATTTAGACTTAACTTACTAAAAATATATATTATAAATAAAATTTAATATATTATATAAATTTAAAAAGTTATAAATAGATTTTTAAAATTTTATATTTAAAAATATATTAATATTATATTTTAATTTTTTTTGAATTATTTTATAATATTAATTTATTATAAAATTAAAAATTTGCAATTAGACTTAATAAAAAGTAATTTAAATTTAATATTTATTAAGATATATAATATTTAAAATATAAAATAAAAGATTCTAATTATTTTTAAAATATATAAATATATAAATATTAAAAATTATTAAATTATAAAAATTAAATAAAAATTTTTTTAATTATTATTAAAAAAATAGTTATAATAATAATAATAAGAATAGATAAGTAAGAATTAAATTATAATATTATTAGAATTAGCTCTTGAATAGTTTAAATAAAATTTATTAGTAATTTAATTATATAAATATTTAAATAATATTTTTAAATTAATTTAAAAACTAATTTTGAATATTATTTATTTAGTATTTATTATTTTTATATTTTTATTTATTATTTTATTTATATTTATATTTTTTATATTTTATTATTTATTTTTTTATTTTTATATAATTAATAAAATATTAAATTATATATATATAATTAAATAGTTTAAATAATATAAATATTTTTTTTATTTATTATAGTTATAGTGACTATTAAAAGTAATACAATACTTAAATTTTTTACTAATTATAATACTTAAATTTTTTACTAATTATAATTAGTAAAAAATTAAGTATTGTATTACTTTTAATAGTTACTGTATATATTATATTATTATTTATTTAATTTATATTTTATATTTAATTTTTATATATAAAAAAATTTTTTATATATTTATTTTTCTTATTTTATTTTTTATTCTTTTTTTAATATAATATAAAAATATTAAACTATATTTTAATTAATTATATAAATTTATTAAGTAAATATATTTAATAAATAAATATTATTTTTTTATTTAAATATAGTTTAATTATCTTTTCTTATTTTTTTATTTATATAAATTAATTTATATAATAAATTTTAGTTTTGTTAATTATTGTTTATATTTAAGAATAATTAAAAGATTCTTATTATATAAATAAATTAAAAGAAATAAATATTATTATTTTTTTATTTATTTTTACTTAATATGTTTTAATAAAACTTAATATTAAATAAAAAAATTTATTAATAAATAAAATTTTCTTTATTATTTTATTTAGTTATTAATTTTATTTCTTATATTTTTATTAAATAATTATATTTATTAGATGATTTATATTTTATTAATTAATTATTTATAAATTTACTAATAATTTAACTTTATATATTAATATATATACTTTTGCTAGATTTTTAACTTGTAATTTTTTTATATTCTAACGTGTAATTTTTTTGTAACTTAGCTTTTATATATATTTTCATTAGTTTTTGCTTATAAAATTATAATATAAAATAGTTTGGATAGATTTCAAAATTAGATTTAAAGAAATACTTTCATTTTATAAATGAAAAGTAGAATTTAAGAATTTCTTGATTTAGTTTAGATTTGACTTGTAATTTTGTCTTGTATTATATATTTTATATAATTTATTATAAATTATCAAGATCGAAACAGTAATAATAAGAGAGTATAATAATGAATTATTATTAGTAAATCTATTTTAAATCTTACTTTTAATATTTATATTTATAATTCAATATCACTTAGCTAATAAAACCTAGCATCCAAAGATCTTCTGCTTTGTTATAAGTGATATTTAAAAGAATTGGTCATAAAATTTTAAAATTTAAAATATAAAATATTATGAATGGAAAGCATATAATAAATATTTTATTATAATTTCTTTATATTATTTTTTGTTATATATTTTGTATTAATATATATTTGAAATTTGATTTTAACATTATTCTTATTATTTTATTTTATTTTATTTTGAATTAAAGTTTGTAAATATCTTGGAGTTTATACGTTTATTATTATTTATTATTATGATTGTTAGTCGTAGTGGTAGTAAAACTTGCTAGAGATGATCGATGGTTGAAAAGTTTAAATGGATAATTTTTGCAATTTATCATATTTATTAGCATGCTTTTAATAGATATCAATATTTGGTACTCGAGTTTATTTAATTTCATCGGCAAGCGTAAGATTAAGTCTATTCCGTGTCGCAAATTTTGCAATTTGCAAAATTCATATGGTTTATAACTTTGTGTGATTTGCATAATGATGTGATTTTATAATAAAAATTATCTATACGAAATTTTTTGAAATCTATTTATTGCAAATAAATTTTTTGCAAATAAATTTTAAAAACTGGATGGTCAATTTAAAAAAACCAAATTCGGTAACTTTGGGACGTGATATCTCGATGGCAATCAAATGGTTCTATTTTGTTCAAATTGGACTGTTGAACGTCAAGATATCATGCCCCAAATTTACCAAGTTTTTTTTTTAATTTTGAATTTGACTATCATAATGATCTAGCGTTTTTTGATTTGTAGAATTTGCAGTAATTACTGAGGAGAAATGCAATAAACTGGACACACTATCCTAGATAAACGAAAGAATTGGCATGATCTCAAAATTGGTTCGTATTATCAAGTTAGCTAATGAATTCCAAATCAGTATTGTGCGTTCTAAATGTGGTGATTGTTTGGAACGTCACAACCAGCATATGCTTTTAAGATGAGTCGAAATGTCTGTTCAACAATGTGGAATCGAGATGTAAATGGAGCACGAATTATTAGAGTTTAGAAGAAAACTAATATTAATGCCGGCTCAACTACGGTAAAATCCCCGAAAATAAGCTATCAGTCAAAATTAGGTGTCCGAAAACAAGCTACCTCCTTTTTCAAGCCAAAATTTTTTGCCAAAAATAGTAATTGGTTTTCAGATATTGGACCTAACGAGGGAATTCCCGCCCGTCCTGTAGCGCGTATATATTTTATTTTATTTAAATATGAGGGTTAAAGCTGGTGTCACGACATTAGTATCAAGAACGTTATATAGCAAACACATCTAAAAATAAATGGATTTGTATACAAGTAAGCCATGACAATGCAATATAAAGACAATCTCCTCTAAGTCCAGCATGATTATATGTAAAAGAATGACAAAAATTTGCATTTAGAGGAAGTAAAATACGGTATACTTGGGATCAAAAATTGCACTTAGAGGTTGTTTGATTGTAATTATAGATTTTGCTGTGCACAATCTCCATAATCATTTTCCAATTATACTTATTGTGGAGTAGTTATTAAAGCAAAAGCATTATTAATTATATTAAATTTCTCCACAAAAACTGCGTTTTCTTGATGAGCAGTTAATTATATTATTAATTAATTATATTATATGTTATTAAAAATTGAACACCTTAGTAGTTATGCAACGTGGTATACCACTAAGGTACTCGCTGTCGTACAAACATTGTAGAAAATATATATGTCAATGTATTAGAAAGCAAAGAATATATCCTTCCATAATATAAAAAAGCAATCAATTGAAATCGACTCATTATTATAAAAAGCAACTGGTGTCTTTCCATAATTATCAAAGAATAATATTTGAACGAACAAGCGTACCTTTGCGGTTATGCAAATATAATGATTTCTTTCTGTGGTGTTACCTTATAACGTTAATGTAGCTGAAAAAATAATTGTGAAAGAGAATATAATAAAAAAAGGGACTGGTTAAAAATCCGCGATTATTTAGTATCTTGTATAAATATACAAGTTAACTGTTAAATGTTAATTATAACCCTAAAAACTATACTGCCGATTGTGCACATTTACATATTGATCGAAAAAAAATACTTTTATTACACGAAAACAAAAAACATTATAAAAGAAAAGAGTTTTCATTTCATTTTTATCGTCACCAAATTTATTGATTGATTGATCAAATTGATCGATTGATCAAATTAATCACGTCCCGTAAACCACCAACTTATTATATTAAGCTTTCCTAACTTACTCTCACAAATATAGTTTCTGCTAAACTATTTTAAGATTATGTCCATTTAGTACAATAGTCTATAACAACTACTTCCACAAGTAAAATCGTAATAAACAAGAATCTTCCACGAGTTTTATGAACCTTTGTTTTATCCTTAATATATACTATTACTGTTACCATTTCTAATACAATGTCATCGTTTAGAATTAACTTTTATTTCATCGCAGTAATAATCATCACATTGCTATTGCATTACGCACTGCCAAAAGTTTTGGCACAACAAGAAACTGGTATGTCGAAATAAGATAAGACATTCTTTATTTCTTTCTCGTATTTTGTTTTTATACCAAGTATTTTAAACACAGGTCCAACCGCTAGCAACGATGATACTAGCAGCGACAATAGCACAGCAACAACACCACAATGCGGCGGAGGTACAATCTCCGGTTCTGATTACAATCTTGGTCTTCATGTCGGCGCGCTGTTTATTATTCTTGCTACCAGTTCTTTTGGGGCGTTTGTTCCGGTCATAGCGAAAAAATATCCATCTTTCAGAATACCGCAAATAGCGTTTATGAGTGCGTATGTTTAAGCATTTTTTTTCTTTAAGTGTATTGTATTTCTGAAATAATTAAAATTCTGTTCTTTTTAAAGTTGCCAAACATTTTGGTACCGGAGTTATCCTTGCAACCGCATTTATTCATGTGAGTACCAGAAATTTTTAGAGTGCTCATAACATATAAGATAATTAATATGAGTTTAATTAGATATATCAATTATATTTAATAGATGTTACCTTCTGCTTTCGGAAATTTAACTAATCCGTGTCTACCAAGTGTATGGAGTAATGATTACACAGCCTTCGCAGGAGCAATAGCAATGGGATCCGCATTAATAATATTTATCATTGAATATTTTACGATAAAAACAGCCGAAGAATATGAAGAAAAACATGAAAACAATATCACGCCTCATGAAAATGGCAGCCATATCAACAACGAGATAGATGTCAGAATTGACGAAAAATCTCATGATCCACAGCAACGTCATCATCATGGACACATGATGTTAATTAATGATCGTGCTAAAACCATAGGTATCGTTATTCTAGAAGCAGGCATCTGTTTTCACTCCGTAATTATAGGAATGGCGTTGAGCGTATCCACGGGTTCCGACTTCATCTCACTTCTATGCGCACTCGTATTCCATCAAATGTTCGAGGGACTTGGGCTTGGAGCTCGTATTGCAGAACTTTCTTTCCCTTCGAGAAGCTTACGTCCATGGCTAATGTCTCTCGCATATGGCACAACCACACCAATTGGAATTGCTATCGGTATCGGCGTAAGATACTCTTATGATCCGCAATCAGAGACTGCAATAATCGTCCAAGGTGTACTAGACTCCATTTCTGCCGGGATTCTGTTATACGCGGCAATGGTCGAGTTACTCGCAGCCGATTTTATCGCCGACAAGAGTATTAGAAAGTCGAGTAATTCAAATCAGGCTTTTGCTTTTACTCTCCTGCTATTGGGCGCTGGTGGCATGGCATTGATCGGTATGCTTTTGATCTCTTTTGAGAATTTTTCTCTTTTTATTCGCATGCTTTTCTTGAATGTTTGAATGGATCCTAATAACAATTTTATGTAAATATAGGGCGTTGGGCATAACAATTTTTCTTTACTTTGTCAGAATGCCTTTATCATTTCAAGTTTTATTATATAACTTCACTTATTATACCTCTCTAAACTCAAAATAGCAATCATAAATATGAATCTTCCGGCACTTACTTTTATAAGTTGTTATACTTTTATAAGTTGTTAAATTTGTCAAATATTTGAAATTTTATTTGAACACGAATCATCATTCATTCTGTAAATTAATTGCTGGAAAAGCATAAAATCATGGCGGTCCTTTCTTTCTATATTTTCCGTTTCAAATCATGACATATATGTTCAATAAAATATATACTATTAATCTTGGGGAGATAATGCTACATTGCTAAAATCCATATGTCAATCCTCGAATTAACATAAATCTAAGTAATGGTTATCAAAAAGCAAATTTTTATTTATTAAGTTAAACATATTATTTAATACATATTTTACTGTTTAACGTTTAACTTGCTTAAACTGCATGATTTGCCATCAAGATTGACGAATTTCAAAAAACATAGATTTTATAGTTTAACTAAATAGTTAACATCTTTTGAAAATCGTGTGTACCTTAGCGGTTATGACGGTGATCTTTTCTCAGTCATCGATTGGTGACCTTTTTGTGCTTGGGGCCAGTGTTGCCATTGGACTGCTTTGGACAATTTTTTTTAAGTAAAAAAAAGCAATTTCTGAACAATCTAAATAAAAATCGTTTAGAAATTAATACTGTATATAATCAGATAATTTTTTATATAATTTTTAAAAAATACAAGAGATTGGACAGCTTGAACTTGGACTTGAAGAAGCCGAAAAATGGCTTGGATATCAAAAATGTACAAAACTGCTTGGGGCCACTCAGAAAAGGCGTGATGTTTTATTTATTGATATGATGATGACGAAAGTAAAGAACATTTTCGGTGATACAAGTGACTCTCGTTTATAGTAAACTCTCTCTATAGTAAATTTTTTGATATACATTAAAATCACTTGCGGATTAAATTCCAGTATCACATATCCCTAAAAAGATTAATTCATAATCTGTAAGGTACTCTTACACTCAAACTTCGCATAAATGATCTTTTGTGATTATCTTTTATCAACTATTATTTATTGCTAGAGAGAACGATTGAATTGAATTATTTCTACTTTCGGATCCATTTCTTCCTTTCCTTGAATAGAAATAAACGCCTAGAGATTTAACAACATTATCTACTAATCAAAACATGATGTTAATAGTATTGGGCACAATTAATTAGTAAGCTTCATCCTTAATATAATAATACTGCCTCTTCTCGAGCGATTTCATTGGAATCAGCAACTGTATGCAAACCCCTTTGTATTGCCGCTGACAAATTTGACGTCAATCAGTTTGGGGTCTTTAATATGATAATAGCAAATATATCCCCAAGATATCCATATCTTGTGCGTATAACAAACAGTTTGACGATATTTATAAGAAGCCGAATTAGGCGTTTGAAAAGATAAAAAGACAAAGAGCTGATTTATTATTGCATACACACGGCGTTAATACGAATTTTAATAAATCAATGAGTACCTTGACAGTTATGCAGATTTATTATGATGACCATAGCGGTACTCGTTTTAAGGCGCATGGTTCCTTTAATCTGTCACACGAATTTCCGACATTAATACAAAAATCTAATTGGTCAAGCTAAACAAAGTTACGTTCTTAAAATTGACAATCCATTTTTGTTGATCATTTAAAATGATCGTCAAAAAATTATTATCATTCGACTGGATGAATCGAGTGGTAGCATTTTTGCTTGAATCGTACCACTGAATTTCAAAGCGTTGGATATTAGACGTTGAAATATGCATCATAAATTGAGGCATGAATGTTTTTGCTCAATATACAGTCCCCGGCGAAAAGAATGGCGGTGGAAATGCCGTCTTCTTTTTTTGCCGTAGCGTCTCCATTTTTCCGATTTGAACCATTGTTTATATTACCAAATCGGGCACTGGAACGCTATTTTAAAAAAACAGAATGTAAACAATGATTTTTGATACTGTTTACATCTTGTTTTTGCACTTCGAAATGGCACCAACCTCCTTGAAGTACAACGAAACGCCGTTAAGTCGCTTTGGCGGCAAAACATTCGAAATTTCCTAACGATTAGGGATTCCTCTACGCTCCTGTGAGCGGTATGTCAGTTTATTACGTAAAACTGGCAAAATTCCCGTAGGT